GAAACCAGAACCTTTAACTATCAGTCCTCAGAACCTGTGGAGAACAGGGGGGTTCCTCCCCAGCAGCAAAGAGCAAAAATTGTACTTTCAAAATAGGTCGGGGGGCCTGGGAGCCTTTGGAATCCTTTCTAATATCTCCCAGGTGTGGTGATGGTGACTGAAAAAGCCAAACAGGTGGGTTACTGGGCTAAGAATAAGCTGTGTGAAGCCATTCCAATTTTCTTTTCTGACAAGCTAGCTGGCATGAAGGATAAAGTAGACAGGAGAGAAGCTCACTATCCTGATTTCAGCAGAGCTTTTGATACTGTCCCAAATGACATTTTAAGCTGAAAGTGAGCCAGCATAAAATGAGTAATTAAATGACTGCAGGAAAGAAGTACTTACTGAGTAGTTGTAAACACTAGCAAGACAAAATTGTACAGGGGAACAAATTCTCAACCTGAATCAGCTGGAGACATTTTTAACTTGCTCTTGCTACAAGCATTGCCTCAACAAGACGATTTTCTCCCAGAGTGTTCAAACATGGTAGCATTTTCTTTTGCAACCAGGAGAAACTCAAGTCTGTTTTCTGAGAGCAAGTACTTAAAGCTTCTAAGGTAAATGGTGTTTCAAGTTACTTAGTGCTCAAGAAAAGCAAGACCTGGAAAAAAAACCCTATGAAGGGGAAACATCGAAAGTGAACATATAAAAAGAGTATCAAATGCATAAATTATGCTGTACAGTCTTTACATTATGAACATGAAATGCAATTCATAACAATGCTAGGTGAGAAAAATATTCAAATTTTAACATAACCCCAAATTCATTTGAAACAGAAGTATCGCCATTGCAGTAGGAAGAAAACACAAGACTATGTTCTTTAATAACGGCAATAATTCCAAAGTGCTGTGAAAGCATGCTCCAAATACTACCCTGACCTGCTTTAAACACCAGGAACAATTGACATACTTAGAGAAAAAAAAAAAAAAAGTAACTGAACACCATTCACCTCAGCTGTTTTTGAAGATGAAGAATGCAAGTTTGGACTTCAGATGCCTTTTTGAAAAATTCAGATATGGAGAAAGATCCAAATGGCAAATGGTATTTGAAACAGTTTAACTCTGCTATGAACTGTGGAAGTGAAAGCACAAAGTAAAACAAAGCCTACCACAAGAAGTTCTACATACATGAAAATACTCATACCCATCCTCTCAATGTGTGTGTAAACAAGTGAGGTTTGAGCAAGGCAGAAGCCAACTTACAGAAAGGCTCTCCATACCAGTTTAAGTTTTTTGTATCACATGTCTCAGGACTGAGAACCTACAAAGAAAGTTATCGCAATCTGACTAAACTTCAGTTAAGCTAGCGTATGCAGCAGTAAAACTTAAAAATAAACTTTGCGAATTCACTTTTGAGCGCTTGACAACTGATGTTATTATTCACCCTGTACCTTTTACACAAAGCTATACAGTATGAAGACTGCCAGAAGAAATTATTAATTATTTGTCTTTTTGACGCATCAATTTCACTATTTTTCCAATGTTAATCATTAACAGGGTAAGGGAAAATTCTTCAGTGCAGGACATAAGATCCAGCTGCAGCGCACCCTCTTCTGGATAGAGAATGTACTGCAGTATTTTCAGGTTTCCAATCTGTTTTCAGAAGAGGTACAGAGTAGGTATTTGTACTGGTGCTTTATGCACCGACAACATTAAAAAAGCATGTAACAGTTTTACAGTCACAACACACACACGACAACATTAAGCAGCTACATCTATATTACAAATTAGAAAAGGTCATTTATGCTAGCACTAGAATCTCGGAGCCCATTGCTGATGTTTGCTGTCTGCAGTCAGACTAAAACGTAGAACAGTTTCATAAAAGTAGCTTCAAACAGGCTTTAACCCAATTTGGAACATGCTGGAAAGGAGGATACATGGAAGTCAAAGTTCAGCATGTTGGAAACAGCAAGACTTCCCAACAAATTTTAGTGCTAACACTGTACATTAAAAAGATGGTTTTTTTTTTTTTTTTTTGCGACGCAGATGACAGCTACATATCATTACAATAGAAGGATGACCCCAAGTCTGATTGGGAACTGGACACTTCAACCTTACAGAGTATTCTCCATACCATAACTACAACTTTACAAGAGGCTTCCCCATGCACACAATGACTACGTTTGCAACCTATCATTTGCTGTAATCACTAACAGTCAATTTGTGAAACACAAACTTCTTCACTTCCACATGCAAGAAGGGGATGTTCTGTCCAATACAAACAAGACCATTTACCAGGGGGTTTCCCAAACAATGGCTCAATTAGATGCTACTTTCACTTCTAATACTCTTTTGTTTCTCCAAAAGGAATGATGGATTTACATTTCCCAAAGAGGATTTCACACATCTAGGACCGGACTCCCAGCAAGCCGCAGTAAGTGGGAGGATCTTGCCTGCACAAACACAGTACATCATCACTGGTACCCACTGAGGCAAAGCACAAGCAGAGAAACCAGCTCACCTACTGTAAAAATGGGATACTTTCAAAGTCTTGGCATTGATTATTTTTTTTCTGGATGTCAGGAGTTGAAAGAGTGACATTTTTTAACAGTTAAAGGTTCTTAGGCTATAAAACAATTTGAATAATCATCTGACAAACTTCAGATAACTCTTTAAACAGTATTATGAATAGTTTATCTAAAGTAGCCAGTGGTGTCATTTCTCTTGAGAAAATACTGCCTTTCATAGCACATACCCTGCTTTTCCAGAGACTTGTCATTTGTTTGTAAACAATAGTTACATAAGAACCATAGTATCGAACTTAACTATTTTTAGGATGCTGATAGTTATAAGTTATTAAAAAAAAAACCTAGCAACTAGTAAGATTTTTGAAGCTAATACAAATTGAACCTGAGAACTACAAAAAGAAAAAAAAAAAAGGATAGTGGACTTGTCTAACATAGCATATTTTAAACACTTTTTACATAGATTTAACTATTAATTTGTTCTCTATATTTACATACAATAAAATAATTAAGATGAGGTGTATAATCATAGAATGGTTTGGGTTGGAACAGACCTTAAAGATCATCTATTTCCAACCCCCCTGCCATGGGGTATAAGGCTAATGAATATGGAATTTACAAATGGCTTCTGCTTTACAGTTCATTACACTCTAATCACATTTTCAGACAGCTATAAATTCACTGATGATCAGTAGTATTTAAGGTCTAACACATACACTTTCTACAACGAATACCAGCAAGTTAAAAAAATCTCTCCAAAGAGGATTACAATTGAAGGTTTTAAAAATACTGACTTTGCCAAGGTTTCAATAAATAATTTTCAAATATAAATATTTCATTCACTGTTAATGCAAACATTTTATAGATTGTTGAAAACCAGTTTCATTTTACAAAACCTAGAAGCATACCTTACTTTACCCCTCACTTTCAGTTAGCATAAACAAAAAAGGGGGAAAAAAAAAGATCGGGGGAGTTCTGACAGAAGCAGCAACATTAAAAGTTCAGATGAAAGCTCTCAACTTCTCTTATGATCTTGGCTTATGCAGTATACATTCAGCCTAAATTCTCTTCCTACTTGGAAGATCACCTGCAGTAACTCAACTGGACTTAACTGAATTACTTTGTGACAACTTTTAAACCATAACTCGTAGCTCTCACCTGCTGCAAGCTTAAAATGACTACAACAGAAAAGGGAAAAGGAAGGAGATTTCTACTTCTGTTAACCATGAACATGTTTTCACCTGAGAAGCTTTTAACCTGAGAAGCTTCAGATATGCCAAACTGACTGTTTCTCTGTACTGTTGTATGCGTTCTTAACCTTTACTATCAGTATAGGCCAGCACTCTTTTTCTTGCCCTATACTCATATGGGAAATGAAGGTTCAGGTCCAACGAGGTATCTTTGACGCCCTAAGAGCCAATCAGAAAACAAATGCTTCCGTGCTTTTTTTCACAATCAAATTATACACATGAACACCAGACCTTGCTAACCTTTGCAAACTTAGCTCTCAACCTCCACACTTAAAATTGAAACAGTTAACCAACTGACTTACTATTGACCATTCTCAGGTAATTATGAAGATCTTTAACAAGACTTTAAAAAAACACCCACAGTTGGCAATCATCTTTATTTCTTTAAAAGCCTCCTCTAAACAGCTAAAAAAGATAGCTCCTTTCCTCCAAAAAGCCTCCTCAAGAACTACGATGTTGCTATTTACCAGAACTAGAATTAGCCTCCCACTGAACTGAAGCAGAGTCAGTCATAGGATCATTCAGTGCAAGTCATAGTACAATTATTTTGAAGTTGTAGCTTGGGTACTCAGGCCCTCAGGAGTACTCTATCTATGGCTTACAATGCCACCGAAATAGGTCGTTCACTAACAGAACGTTTCCAGAAACCTTTGGTCCAAAAGCATCTCTCTGGCTAAACACCTTCCCAAGAGCACCCAGATCCTCTGCCCTCCCAGTCGAGCCTATTAGACACGCACTGCACAAGCAGGTACACAGAGATGTATTTGTCTTGCTCCCAAGAAGAGATGGCAGCCAGGAGCAGGCTGTCGTCAGAAAATCAGCCCACATCCTACTTGGTCTGGTTTCTCTTCTGGAAACTGTTCTGGGGAAGAGGGCAGGTGGAAGCAGGCCAAACTCGCAGCTGTTCCCCTTTCCAAGAGTATCAAACATTTTGCATACCATGCTGTATATATGCAGAAAATCTGATTTTACAGCAAGGAAGAGCTGCAGTATGTCTCTTTCCTGCCGTTAGAATAACTAACTGCTCCAGCTAGAAAGGCTGGGCATCACCACCAATCTAAAATACAAAACAGTTGTGGTAATTCAGCTGTGAAAGTTTTAATGAACGTAAAAGCATGGCTTTTGCTTCAGCTCTCGTTCATTCACAAGTATGAACCTTATGGCATAAACCTTAATCTAGATTAGGTGTTCTCAGTGCTTTAAATGAGCTGAAGTTCATCACTGTATTATGTTAAATTCCACAAAATCTATACATCTTCATCTGTCTGTTCTCTCACGTGGTCTTGCTCAGACACGCTGGAAGCATCGTCGTCTGTTTGTTCACCCGAGTGATACAACATCAGTGCACGTGTCTTATGAGTTATGGTAACAGTGCAGGGCCCCTGAGCCCATGGCTCTCCATCCACCTGCATCGGCATCTTTGAACTCTTCAAGATCAGCTAGCATTAAATAGAAGAACACATAATCATAGCAGTTCAAAGTAACTCTGAAGATACCTTTTACCACTACAATATACTGATGCTGCATGCTTTCAGCCTGGCCAGGTAGAATTTTAGTATATAATTAGTTGCACTCATAGGCCACTAACCACAGCAACAGAGGACTGTGACTTATGACATACTTAAATTTTACTAAGCAAGAGAAACATCTAGATCAACTGCAAACTGCAACTTCAGATCAGACAGTTGAGTGCTTGAGATTCAATACTGCATATTAAAAAAAAAATTAGGGAAACAGGTTCATAAACACCACTTACCCTCACAGTATGTGCCTGCCCTAGGCGAACAGGATTTGCTAGTTTCACCTGAATTTGGGCACAGTGGAAAGAACCATGAACACCAACAACTTCCAGAAGTCCATCATCATGTCTATGAATTAAGAAAGACTCTTTTTAGTGATGCCCATGAGCTCCAGAATACCTGTCCAAATATTACACAGTCCTTTTATGGCTACTCCTATAGAGAAGACAAATGTTATTCTACAAATCCGTTTAAACTATCTATTTGTGCTGGACAACAAATCATGCTGAACAGCAAAGGAAGCCATACAAAAACGCAAGTACAGAGCAATACACACGCTAGCTAGCTTCTGGAAATTACAGATATATGACTTTCTAAGGCTCACTGTGCATATTTAAGGACCACAGTAGATTTCTCTTCCATAAATTTGTACAGTTTTCTGTCTTTTCACTCAGTTATTAATCTACAGGAAAATCTTTTAATGGCTTAATTTTTTAGGTTGTGGTAAAGGACCTTGCCCAAGTATTTTTTAGAAATCCAGGATCATAAGCCCTGTAACAGAACTAGGAAGTATATTTCTATATATGGCTTCTGAAGAAGTAAGTCGCAAGAGGGAATAACTAATGTGCCCACCTATTCTCCTCTTTGGCATAGCTCCAGCCAACTTACTGAAGCACGGAAGTCAAATTTTTGGCTTGCTTTGTTTTTACGTTATATTTTAACCTCTACTTAGATGTGTTCCTTCATATTCTGAAATGAATGTATCTTCTACTTTTTGAAGGCTACCTTTATTTTTAATAGCCTCTTCAACGCTATTGCTTAATCGTGCCAGACATTTTGAGAAGGTCTTAAAAAAAAACCCAAACCTGATGCGTGGGATGCACTTAGTCCAAGTCTCCAACACAAGGAAAATAAAAAATCTGGAGACAGCCTACTGTGACAAGGAATCCTTCTGACTTTCAGACAAGTCTGGCTACATAAGCACAGCCTACTGGAGAGAATTGCTTACACTACAAGAACTGTTAAAAGTTAAAAAAAGAAAAAGATGCACGGTGTACCTCGCCAAGGGGTAAGGTTCATCACCCATTCCTTCCCAGAGCCTACAGCCACCTCCCCAATATCCAATATTCAGGACAATGATGCCTTCCAAATTGGGCAACTCGATTCTCTCACCATCCAACTCTAGCTTTAAAACACAAACAGAAGTTAATTACTGTGGATCAAATTCAGTTCTTCAATATAAGCTGGTTATTCTCTTTACACATTCAATGACTTCCACTTGAAGAAAAACTGGCCCTGCACAAATAGAATGCATTTTCTTTTCATAATTTAAAAAAAAGGACTTCTGATTTCACAAGATATCCTAAACTATAATAAATTTCTGTTAATACAGAAAAGAAAAGGATCTCTTACTTAAGTAAGTCTCTGGTGCTAAGGCAAATCTGAGTATCAGTACTTGAACTCACAGAACTGAGTCAAGGCCAGAAAAAAAAAATTAGGAATTTTTCACTAAACTCAAAGTCATTAATTTTATGAAGTGAACTGCACATCACAAAAGGAACACCAAAAATACTCTAAGTCCAGAGCCATCCTTATACAAATATCATATAGATGTAAACTGCAAAGCTTTTCCCCTTTTCTTTTACAAATTAAGTTTTTACACTCCACTGATTGCCCAGAGAATAAGCAAGTTAAAAAACTTACCTCAACCTTTTTGTTAAGATCTTTACATTCCTGTACTAAGCAGTCTTTGGTTCCATAAAAAAAATAAACAGCCTATTAAAAAAACAAAAAACAAACAAAACAAAACAGAGAGAACAGAAAACAGTTAGAAAAAGACAATACATAGGTAGAATATTTGAAATATTAATGTATAGTTATTGTTCTGCAAACCTTATCTAAAATTCATATGTAACATATTTGCACATCCTTCAACTAAGGTTTCTCCATGAGACAGGCTACAACTTGCAAAAGAAACTTGCTTTCCACTTTAAAAGGAAAAAGGCAATGTCCTTAACTTATTAAGTTTCAAAGCAAATGAAACATTCTAAACAAAAATTGAAAAAACCAGCATATTCTATAAGCAAGCAAGCAGAGGCAACATAGAACACCTGTGAGTGGGCTGGAAACATGTTTTGCCCATGTGTCCTGGTTTGAGGTGAAACAGAACCAATTTTGTTCAGTAACTTTGCTTCTTAGCTGGGCCTCTTCTAACTACTGAAATTAACTGCATATTGTGCAGACAGTGTTCACTCGCTCTGACTGGTAAGACCAATGTTTATAGCTGATGCCCAGGCATGGTATGCAGAGAGGAGCTTGCTTATACTTATTGCCATAACAACCAAGGCCAAACAACTTTGTTATTTGCCCCGCTGGAGGGTCAAAAGCAGAAAAGCATAGTGGGGTCCCACCTGCGGGGAAGAGCAAACAAGACAGGTGACCCAAAAGTGACCAACAGGGTATTCCATCCCATCTGCCTCATGCTCAGTATAAAAGCTGTGGGATCAAAGGGTCAGCTCTCTCTTTCTTCAATGGCTGACGTCTGAGGAGGGCTCTGTTCGTCTGCCTTTGATCCTGATCCTGAATGCAGATCCGGAATCCAGTTCCTGTCCATCACTGAGTCCAGCCTGGGACTGCCCCAGTGCCAGCCGGTGTCATGATTGTCATCGTGGGAGCTTGATACAGTTTTGTATATATTTCACTATTTCTTTGTATTTTATTATTAATATTTCATTAAAGTAGCTTAGTTCCTTCTAAACTCATATGTCTCTTGTTTGCTCCTCTGCCTCTCTCTTTGAAGAGGGGTAGAGGGGAGCATCTGTCGGTCCCACCTGGGGTCCCCCAGATCCCCAGTAGCCGATTTGGCCTAAACCATGACACCATGGAATCCCCTCCCCAAGGAAAATGAGCTCAAACTCCTAAAATGGCATGAAAGAAAGTAGGGGAGTAGAGTAATGTAAAGCAAAAAATAGCCTTAAGTTAACAACTACAAGGAGAAAACGTCACTTCACCAAACACACCTTATTAATAATTCTGCTGGAAAACAGAGAGGGCGTCTTCTCACGATGAGCATGAAAATTTAAAGCCATGAGAGCATCAGGTCCTATAGAAAAGTAGTTGTTCATTGTGAATACCTGTAAGACAGAACTTCTAGTTATTGTCTTATAAAATATCATTATTAGGATTTAAGAGTCACAGTGTTTGACAAAAAGTAGGTACCCAGAAAAATAAGCATAAACATACAGGTACTGCATAGAATCCATAGTTATACTTGCAAACCATACCTTTGGTTTCCTTAGGTTGTAGTATCCTTTGTTTGTTACTTGAACCTTCCATCTGAAAAACAACAGCTATTAGAGTCATGACAGACTGTTCTCACTTAGTTGCAAAGCTGTGATTAGGAATCTCATACCTATACTGTGATCAAGTCAAAAGATTCAGATTTAGTTAAATTATGAAAGACTTAAGCCTTGCAGAGCAACTAAATAAAGACTAATTTTGGACCTCAGTTATTTTGCAGTTCCCTCCAGCAATACTTGTGTTCCTTTACATATACTGCTGCAACTGAGTATCAGTAGAGCTGTAACAGTATTTGGTTCTACAGAACTTATCTTTTCACTGTTACTTACCTGTCTAATTTGATTCCATCTGCCTCCATGACATTTCGTAAGATTTGTTCAACAGGGACTTCTCCAGCATAACCTGCACCCCAGCCCAGTGTATTAGACAGGTCATTACCCGTTCCCAGAGGTAAAACTGCAACTTGTGGAATATAACGTTCTTGCCCCTGGAAAACAAAGACACTGTGTATTAGCTCCTTCTTCAGCACTCATTTTCTCCCTTTTATCCCCAAACATTCAGGTTTGATAAATATCATTAATCTTCATAGCAGCTTGTTATATAGTGCAGAGCAATAGAGCTGGCACAGCATTAGTATGGCAGATGGCACATTTGAGTACTTATCACAGGCATAATGCAAAGGAAGGAAAAGTTACACCACTGTGAGGGGAAAACAGAATACAAACACAATATGGAAACAATGCATTATTAATACTGAACAGAGAATTCCTTCAAAAGAATGATGCTTTGGATCTTAAAGTGGAAGCCTGAACTTGTCATCCGATTTCCTGATTATATGCTGCTGACATGCTGTAGCCGTGGTAAGTTACTAATACTACTACTGCACATACCTCTGGGAAGTGGTATGAACACTAAAAGAGAGGTAACACACACTGTGAACCGTAACAAGACCCCAAAATGCTCTTACAAGACCAAAGTGAGGGTAGGTCTAAAACAACAGATGCACATAAAACTAGAGTATTCAACCACAGACAAAAATTCACATACTCAAAGAAGGAAAGTCAGTATCTAAGTTTCAGAGATGCCACATACACACAGAGACCCAACTGTTGTCAACAGATGGAGGAGATCATAATCACCTCTGAAGGCCATAAAGTGATAGAAACAGATATTCAAAACGGCCACCTTAGCAAAGGTCTTTGCTCTCTCTACCACAAAAGGGTGAACAGTTATTTCAGATGTACTATGGCCTTTGAAACTCAGCTGTGAAAAGTACTTGCAGTAAGTGGCATTATGGTTATTATTTTTTCAAGAAGAGTTATCAGCCAGATAACGTGTATTTGAGAGTCAAGATAAATGAACAGAGCAAATAACCTACTACAAATAACCTACTGCTGATAAAAAAAGTTTTTGCTGATAATCTCAACAGTATTTATGTAACTGCAACGACCCAAGTACTTGGAACCAAAGAAGAACCCACATTTCATCAACTATATTGGCTCTGAGGGACAACATATCACATAATCACAGAACGGTCAGGGTTGGAAAGGACCTCTGGAGATCATCTAGTCCAACCCCCAAGTTAGACTAGATATCAAGTGTCCAAGACCAAATAACCATATGCTTATATACATTAACCTTCATAGTTATACTTTGTTGCGTTTCTACTTTATCAGTACATAAAATTCTCAAAGCAGCTGTTTGACTATGCATGAAGTTGTAATAATGGCCTTCAGCTACAACATTTCATGTATTAAGAACGCTCCAGCAAAAAAAAAAAAAAAGAAAAAAAGAAGACACTGATATAGGAAGAGTAACCTTCTTCCTTTTTTCACTAGAGAAAAAGATTATTAGTAAAGCACTAAAGCTCTAGTAATTATTTTTCATTTCCTCAGGAGTTCTTAATAGTACCCTGTAAATTGGAGTATCTTCCATTTCAAATCAACAGTAAACATACAGCTTATTTTTTTCCTTCTCTACTTGCTATTAGGTGAGGCTGCAGATTGATGAATTCTTTAGAATATATGAGAATGAACAAAAGCAAATTACTGCACTCATTCATGCACTGGCAGTACAGCCAGTATAGCCAGCAAAATTACGAGGTTATTAGAAAAGACTGAGCGTGCTGGGAGAAATAAGCAGTCAGAGCACATTAGCCATTATTAGCAATGCCATTTATGACAAAATAAATATGTTTAGACACAGAGGAAAGAAGAATACATATAATATTCTGCAGCTTGTTCTTTTCTCGTTTTACAGAAAAGAATGACTTTAAATATCACCTACTTAAAATCTAAAGCTTTCATATTTTTCCTGAACTACAGGGACTCCTAACAAGATGCATTCCCCCTCCCCCCTCCAATATGAATAAGCAATTCTGCAAATATTACTCTGTAGGCTTATTCTGGAAGATTAAAACAATAAATGCAGGTAAGAGATTAGGTGTAGCCCTTCAGCAGCTCCAAAACTCATTTTCACCATAAGACACATTTTAATAGGAAACACAATACCTTTATCTTCATTTCATCAATTGCATCCAGGACCCAGCCTACTGTGCCATCCCCACCACAGACCAGAACCCTGACAGCGTTGCACGGCAGCAAGGTACAAAGCTGGAGTGCTTTAGCAGGTGCAATTTTGCTTAGATCAAAAACCTAGAAGAACGGAAAATCAGGAGTTCCATAAGTTCACAGAACATGACTCGGGATTTGCCTCACAGATAAACATCTTCAAGAAGTTCATTTTAATGCAAAACAAAGATTCTCCAATTACAGTATTACATTGGCAAATGAGCTGTCTTGACTTTTACGAGCAGAATTTGGTTTCCCAAATTCACAACAGAACTCCAGCTGCTTCACTAGGAATAAATGCCACTGATAAACCAAGCTGACGGAGGCCTAAGAAAAATCTGCATCTAGAGGCACTATGATGAATTCTGTAGAGATTAAAGACTTCAGATAAAAGTTATTTTTAAATAATCAGCATACGAGCAGGTTTATTCTTTAAAGCCTTACTGGGATGCATTTAAAACACACACATAGGGATTTCTATTAGGCTGTATTCTAAGGCTAGGTTTTGAACTTCAAAGGAAGAGTATTAAGGTGCAGCCAGGAAATCCAAGGAACAACTAACTGCCTTACGTCAACATCCTGTGCCATCCCCGTGGATTTTAAGCGGAAAGTGACAACACAAAGCAGCAACTGTAAACACTGACGTTTTCACAAATAAAGCAAGGATTTAAACAAATACAGATTTCAAATTAAGAAGACCTAAATACTTAATTTCCTAAAAATTTTGCACTGTTTCAAGAGCGAGATACTTACCATTAACACAATTACTGCATGTACTACCATAAATAAAACCTGTACCAGTATTAGAACCATAACAAACTTGGGGGGTGGGAGAAGCCTCTGCACTTCTGGTCTCTCTATATAAAGCTATCTTTTCTACATGAACAAACTGCATGAATTTGTTTTCTTTACTGATATTCCACAAAATCCTACTGCCATTCTGTAAGCAAAGTGATGTTTATTCTAATTTAAACTTTTATTTTATTATGGTGGCTTTGCACTGTAAATACCTGAACGGGGGTCAGCAGAATTTTAAATTCTCCTAGTAAAGTTTCACCCATGTTGTTTCCACTACGAGTATTAGCCAGTATGATTACTGGCATCCAGTGTTTTCTGCAGTAAGGTACTACCTGCAAAAAGGCAAAAGTCAGTCAGTCACACAAATACTGCACGTTTGAAAGTGTTTAAAACCTTGCTCCACAACCTGTCCCCTGTAGTAAGTGCTGAAATGAAGGAGTTACCAACTAGTCTGAAGTAGTCAAAACAAACAAATACTTCTGACACACCAAGGTTGAAGATTTCTGTTCTACAGTGCCTAGGACAACAACCACTACAATGTTATGAACACAGTAGTACAAAACATTCAAGAAGGAAGGTACCAAAACCTCAGGGTTGTTTTGGAATAACAAAACCAAGTGTCTGCTTGTGCTTTAAGTACCATATTAATAAAATGGCAAACACCCCCGAATTAACATTGCAAGTACTTCATATATATTGAAATATTTACCTGATAGTTATTAACCTGAAAATGTACTGAATTCAAGGTTTAACGTGTGGGAGATTTTTTAATTTTTTTTTTTTAAATATATGGTAAAGCCACAAAGCAGTAGACAATTACCTTTTCATAATTGGTTCTTTTGTCTTTGCGCATCTGGTTGATTGTAGACAAATAGTACGGTGGAATAATTAAGTCTCTGAATTCTCCAAATGTACACTCCTCAGTCTTTAAATAATCCATCATGCATTCATCATGCACAGTGTACTGACACCACACACATCTGGAAAAAAGACCAAAAACCATGAAAAAATCCTCAAACCACAGGCACATCGATTTTGCTCATTTATTTTTAGATAAACTAACTTTCTGAAAAGTACTTATATTTACAAACACCATTCTAAGTAATATTTTGAGCACATTACAGGGAAAACCATGCATTCTCTAGAAGTTTACACAACTATGTATTTGCTACAGAAAATTACTTGGTCATGGAATTGCAAGTCTAGAAAACCCTTTGAATTCTGTGGAAAAAAAACCCCAAGTTTTAAATTAATTCTATTCTTTTTAATTAAAAAAACCCAGGTACTATAAATACCCTCTTGCATTGTCCGCAATATTAACAGTTACACTGAAAGCTTGCATGAGAAACTGAACTCCTATCCATCCTTAAAGAGCACAGATAGAACACGAGTTCAATTTATAATAAAGTTTTACTAGAAACATTAATCAATAAATTCCTTAAGATTGATAATACCCCTTTAAGTCTGAAACCTAAAAGGTTACACAATACTGCACAAGGCTGATGGGATTCTGTTACGCAAAACTGCTCAGCTTTTTGGCCTATTCTAAAAGCTGTCCTGGAAAACCAACTAGAACAAGAGGAAATACTGCAATATCCACTGCCAGCCTCTGCAGAATGTTAATCCTCGTTTGCTACATCCAAAGCCTTGGTTCAAGCAGCTGTCAAAGCTATTTTTGGAGCCCTTCTGACTAATCCAGCACACAACTAGAGCAGCAATGATACTTGCCCTGTGCTGTGACTTTCTTCTTTTCCTCTTCCTTCCACCCCCTTTGGCTCGAAAATCCTCCCCTTCCTGCCTCTCCTACACACACTCTCAAGTTTTTGTTTCTGATAGTATGCTCATTTACACTGTAATTCTGCTTGCTTACCAAACAGTTTGACAGTATCACACACAAGCAAAGCAAAAGCTGGCAGAATGTACGCTGGAAAGATGACATCCTTTGAGAAGGCTAAAGTAACACTTGCACTGTACCCAGTACCCAGACCACTAGCACTATATTTTGGTGCGACATGCCACTATGTGTCATGCTGACAACCTTCCAAGCGGCCTTACTAATGACAGTGCAAGCTAATTCAACGGTTCCTTGAAAATTTTTAACACTCTTACCACAAACTTTAACAATAGATTAGAGTACAGTAGCTTCTAAAACTTCCCATTAGCTTTTTTTGAGTATCCTTAAAAATGAACTCAAAACACCGATAGCACAGTTATTTGTTCTAGTTACACTGAGCACATGCCAATTTTGCAGAGATGCATACACACTTTGGTGCTCTGAACACCAAATTGCTGTGCCACCCAAATTGCTCAGGCTATCCACTGTACAAATGCCAAGTGTGTTAGAACCTCCTTAAGGTCATACCCTAAAACATAAAACTCTCTCGGACACAGAGAGCCTTTTATATGTAATTATACAGTAGCTAGCACATCATGCTGGAGTACCGCAATGAAGAGAACAAGTGGATATGTGATGCAATGCCATACTCTTAATCTGTGACTCAAACTACCCGCAAGCATCCATTTTAATTTTAGGTTCTTTGAAGCTGTTTTTTTAACAGAGTTTCATATTTGACTACTGCAGGATCTCCTTTGGGGTAAGGTGCTCCAATAACCCTGTGGAAAATACAATATTGATATGGCACCGTGCTTCCTCATAAAAAGCCAAAGTCCCTTGCCGTACCTGTAGTCGCAGAGCTTGGGCTGCGTGCCACACTGTTGTTTGCATATCATACAGCAGCTGCAGAGAGGGACATTGCCTCTGATCCAGTGGTGTGGCATAGAGCTGTGGGCTCCACCATTGCTCCTCATCATAATTTCCTTGCAGAGAAAAAGCTGGTCAGCCTTCTTGAGGCATCCTTCGCTGACACGCAGCCCGCAGCAGTTGCAGAAAGCACCCTGAAGGATGTGCTGAGCACACACGCAGCAGTAGGAGGGCTGCCCGAAGAGGTCTGTGTAGTGCCAGTCATGCTTGCTCTTGCGAAAGATGTCTCGTATTAACACCTGCCGCCGGGATCGCTGGAAGCTGCACCACAAGGTGATCAGCACCGGCAGGATCACAGCGCACAGAGTCCAAAACACCAAACTCCAGTCTGCAATGACCGACGAGGCTGTGCTGCTTCTGCTCTCTGTCCCCTCCATCCCTCAGCAGCTCAGCCCCACCAGCCTAACCCCTCACACCAGCCGGGCAGACAGCAGGGCCAGTCCGGGAACGGCCTCCTAGTTCGAGGAGCCAACGCGCAGCTTCATGAAACATCTTTTAATCCCTTATTAGAGCTAAGCACCTTTCCCCCCACATCTGACCTACCCACCAACAGAAGGGTTTCAGTGCCGGCCAGGTGCGAGGGGCTGCTCCACTGCTTGCCCGGGCCTAGCGCAAGGCCGCCCGCCGCCCGGCCTCCTCCCGGCCCGGCCCTTCTCGAGCTCGGAGGGTTCCCACAACCCCTGCTAACCCCCAAATTTTGTGCT